AGGGTGGGGAGGAAGGTCCTTTATTGAGAGGCCCCCTCACTTGAGGGGGATGAAGCGGGAGGAGTGGGTGGCGCCGATGCCGGGCCGGCCGTGCTTCACCGGCTTGTAGGTGATGGAGAACTCCCCCAGGTAGTGACCAATCATCTCGGGCTGCAGAGAGAGGAGAGACCCCCATGGAGCTGGGGAGGGGCTGGGCCAGACCCCCCCGACACGCCCCCAACCAGCCCCAGGAAGGGACGCAGGAGCCGCAGCGGCTTCTCACCCAGGTCCGGGTTGGATTTAATGCCAGACAAACAACACTGAATCCCACGGGTGACACCAGGTCACAGCACCCTGTGGGTTATTCCACTCCCTGGAAGCCTCATGGATCCGTTTCACGGGATAGAGTTGCCGGCGGGCAGGGAGGGAGGGCCCAGCCCTCCCTCTGGAGGCAGCAGCACACACAGCTCACACTAGCCTCCCAAGCTGCACCAAAGCCCCATGAGGCCACCAGAGCCATCAGGAGGGACCCCTGGTGTCCCTCGGGGCCACCTCTGCTCCAAGCAGGAGCCTCAACCTGCCCCTTGGACACGGGAGAGGAGCAGGATGCCCCAAAAGTGACCAAAATTAAAACCCAGCCCAGCCCCTCCTCTCAGCGCTGCCCTGAGGCCTCACCTTGATCTCCACCTGGTTGAAGGTCTTGCCGTTGTAGACGCCCACCATGCTGCCCACCATCTCCGGGAGGATGATCATGTCCCTCAGGTGGGTTTTCACCACCTCGGGCTTCTCCATGGGCGGCGCCTCCTTCTTGGCCTTCCGGAGCCGCTTCAGCAGCGAGTGCTGCTTGCGCCGCAGCCCGCGGTTCAGGCGCCGCCGCTGCCCGGCGTAAAGCTGCATCAGCTGCTCGCTGGGGGAGACAGGGGGGCTCGGGGGCTGCTCCCAACAGGGAAGGAGCCCCCCCGGGAGTGAACCCCACCCAGGGGAGCCCCAGTCCAGCCCTGCTGTTCAGGGTGGGTCACCTGGAGCAGGTGTCTGTACAGGGTCGTGTCCAGGTGGGGTTTGGGATCTCTAGGGAAGACTCCCGACCCCTCTGGGCAGCCTGGACACGGGCTGGGAGGCTCCTCTGGAGATTCCAAACCTTGGGAGGCTCCTCTGGAAGAATCCCAACCCCCACCTGGAGGTGTCATGACCCTCTGCCAGTGCTTTGTCACCCTCCAGGCCAAAAAGTGTTTCCTCATATTCCCGTCCTGTCACTGGCAGGAGCCTGATCGCACCCCCTGACCCCCCCGAGATGCTCCCCACACGGATGAACACCCCCCGGGAAGGGACCATCCAGTCCCCTCATCCCCTTCCACTGCACCCTCTGCAGCAGCTCCG